TCATGCCAAATGAAAAAGTCGTAATATATATTGAGTTTTGTGATGTAACCGTAAAAAAAAAACAATTTGTTGTTCAACAAATCTTAAGCGACTCAACCCAATTTTTTAATACAACAGTTTTAGTCACTTCATCAGAAAATCTCAGCAAATCTCCTAAATTTGTTTGTACGCTTATTAAAGCCAATAGTTTTAGGCGTATCAAGCTGACTGGAACAATCGCTATGCCATTGCTGTACTTAAGGTCAGCAATAATAGCTTCATCCACTTTGAATTACCAGTTTATTCCGTTCGGGTAAATTATATAAATATCATTGCTTTAGATTTAAAAACTTGTCGCCTGTTACTCGCTAGACTTGTGCAAAATTTCCTCAAACACGTGTATATCACGAGTGCAATTACACATTTCAGGTGATGAGCAATGTTGAACCAAACAACGAAATTATTCAGCTAAGCGTTGTATCACTACATAAGGTAAGTAAATTGTTTCCTCTTTATTAAAAAGTTGATAGTTGTTATACTTAAAGTAAGATATTTGAAATGTTTTCACTTTAGAACGCTGACGTTACCTTCTCATTTGGCGACATTGGAGATGGAACGTTTGCAATCTCTTCCAAAACGGGCGTGGTGAAAGTCTCAAAGCCTATCAGGAAAAAGTACTACTCCTATCAAATTTGCGCGAATGACGGCAAAATTGTTGGTTATACATTTGTTTATTGTTCTTATTTTTTTTTCAAAAAAAAAAATAAATCTTTTTTTTTACCTTTTCTGTCTCCAAACTTGAGATACTAGCAAGATCACCACAATAGTACATTAGTGTTCCTATAAAATCGACAGATTTTTCTTACGGATAAGTACAGAAAATTATTTTTAGACAGCTTACTCCCACTTGGACATTTATGTGGTCGGTAACCACGTTCCAACTTTTGATAAAGACGAATACGTTTTCGATGTAAGCAGCAGCTTGTTTGTTGGCCAGGTTCACGCCACTGATGATGACGACAACGATACTGTTAATTACAGTATTGCCAACCTACATAAGTTTGTCATGTTTTGCGTCTTTAACGCTTAATTTAACAAAAAAATTTTTGAGCAGGACAAATAAAGCAATCTGTAACAATGCAAGATTTAACCAAATTATAGCTTAGAATAAGTTTTTACTATAACTCTTAGTTGAGAAGGAAAACCGATCCAATTTACAAAGAAATATTCAAGTAAACTAGAAAATCATTTAAGAACGTAATAAAAAATTAACAAATAACATTTTTTTCTCTGGTATTAATTCTTTTTTTTTTTTATTTAGAAAGAAGCAAAAACATTGCACGTGTATTAAAAGATTTTTATTTTATGATGAATTTTAGGCTATTTGCGATTGATAATGAGGGATCCATAACTAGACTTGGTGATGTTCCAGTTTACAGTGAACTTGTGGTAATCTGTGAGGATTCTTCGGCTCAGCGTGCCATAACGACAGTTATAATTAAATCGCACTCTCTTATATCTGTTGCAACTTTACTGACCACACTTATATTTATTCTTCTAATTATTATTTCTGTTGTTATCATCTTGTTTGTCATTAAACGCGTCTCAATGATGTAAGTTTTTTTCAGTAGTCTTAATTATTTCAAACTGCCATCTAGTTTTTGAAGGTTCAGTTAAACGCTAATACAACTAGCTGCAATTTTTGAGTAACTCAAAAAAAAATCAAGGAAATTTTTAGATGTAAAAAAGATGAATGCTGGGTAACCAAAACAGGTGATAATGCAATTGTGATATCTACTTCGTTAGATAGCGACAACTTACGAACGCTTTCTATGAAACGAACTGCGTAAGTTCTGCTATGTGCCTGTAAGACTGTAAAGTAAAGAAAGGTAAAAAAAGAGTAAGAATGGCTTATTACTTTTCCAACTTAACATTTAAAGTGACAAATGTAATTTTTTTAATGTCCTGCTATTCCCTATAATGCATTTCAAAAATCTCATAATAATTCTTGAAACTCTAAAAATTGTTAATGTATTGTACAGCTGAACTACTCTTTTGCTAAATTTATCCTCAGTTGTTCTTACTTCATCAAAAATTTTTTTTTATAGAGGAAGCTGCTGAAAGCGTTGGTATATGTGGAAAAATTAAGATGAAATTTTAGGAACAAAGAATTCGTGAACGATGAAAATGATAGAGACTGCGTTAATTATTCAAATTCGTTAGCATTTGCATCTTCATTAAGTGCTTCTCCGACTCCTCAAAATTTTCTACCAGCAGATATGCAAGGTGAACAACTTGATAATGGAACAATGTTCAACAACAGACCAACAGTGTATTTTTGAATTTACTTTCATGACCATCTTAAACTTTTTTTTACAAGGTTCATCTAAAAGATCTCACATTTCTATGATTTTTTATCTCTCCTTACTTATATTGTAGTTATTATTCAACATGCAGTATGTAAATATCTTCCCCTAAATGTTTGATCTCAAAATCCTGATGAAATATACTAAGCAAGTACATCATTTTCTTACTTAAAATTTTGAGCATGTGATATTGTCAGCGATATACGACATTGAAAATTAACTTTTTGTCGCTTTCTTCATATAATAAAAGAAAAAATTTGTAACAGGTGTTGCAGCTATCATTGACTAGCATAACCAGTTTGCTTCTCGTCGTATCATAAATCTTCTATGCCACCAATGTCTACCACTGATCCTACTTATCTAACCATTAGGCATGACGTATCTCAGTTATCTTCTAAAATATGAAATGCTCTCAGAAATATAAAATGATTATCTATTGCCTTTTGTAATTTGGTGACTTCACTTTTATTTTTTCATATTTCTCTCGTTGTGGTTACTTTCCGTAAGCAGTAGGAATCAACTCAGAGAACAAAGTCTATGGAGTTCCAATACGGCTTTCTAAACAATCTCCATCTATTAAGCTTTAAAGTCTAACCAAGAATGAATAATCGGCTAAATGCTTCGATCAAAACGATAAAGAAAACTTGCTAAAACTTTTTCAACTGCTATAAACAGAAAACAGGGTAAATCGAAAACTTCAACAGCATTTGAAACCCAGTTAAGCTATTCTGAACCAGAACAGTTTCACATTATTAAAAATAAAGTTTTCTTAGAAGATAACAGTCTTGAACCTTCCCCCACTTGTGTAGGCGACACAATTCAATTCCAACTTACCAAGGAGAGGAGTGGAGCAACGTAAATGGTTCAGAGGCAACTGCGGAGAGATATACTCAGATACTTTGTAATCCTTTAGTTAGCATCTAGAGGGCAAAATTTTAATTATGTTATAGAATTTATACTACGGTGAATTATTAGTAAATTGAAAAAAATAAGACCAGTTGCGTGCGTTTACAGTAGGTGCTATTATTAGCCGTCGCTGTGTCATATTCAAACATTGAGTCAAGTGTCGAATTGATACTGTTCAAAAAAACTCTCATTTGTGCAAATGTTAAATGCAAAAAAGCAATTTATATATCACTGTAAACTAATAAATTTTTTCAACTGCTATAAACAGACATACTATAGAATCTGAATATCTTGTTTGTTTTCCTTTCCAGAATGATTTCCCCGTTCATTATTTTTTAAAAATGTTGTCTTTAGCAAGAAGTTATTTATTCCAGAAGGTTGACAGTCAATGAAAAAGTAGTTATTCCCTTTCTAAAATAATGGTAGGCAGTGGGAAAGCAACAATGAGTGAGGAAAGAAAAGAACGCAAAAGTTGGTTTTACTTTTTTGTTAAGGTTCTTGTCAAAAGACTGCTAACTTCTCAAAAATCCGTCAGCTCGATTGCACCTTAAAATTAGATCTCCCATATCTGAAAACCTTTATGTTTTGCCAAAAAAGTGGAGCCGAAAATTGGCTAGAAATTGGAAGAGATAAATACGATTCAGAAACAAAAGATAAAATTTCACTAGATGCTTTTTCGTGTTCTGATTTTCTGGTCGTTTGTTCCTTGCCCTTATCAAGTTCACTGTTTACTGAAAAAAACACTATCAAGATCTGAAGCACTGGGGTGAATAGGAAGCATTTTTCATTGTTTGTCTGTGCAGTTATTAACCCTTGCTGAAAAGCAAATTTCAAACAGTGAATTTATTGAAAAGAGTTTCAGAAACGCGGAACAAACTTCAGAATTTTTTCTTTCTCTCTTGCTTCACCGTCACGCAAAAATAAACTGCGTTCACCCGACTAAAAATCGTCTTTTAGGGTCGCTAAGAGAACAAGTAATCAGTTTAAGAATTTCACCACTCATGAACACACCCTTAAGTAAACGAATAAGACTAAAAACGTACCGAAATGTTAAGAAAGTGTTTGAAAATGAAGAAATTTGCAGGTTCTTGGTGCTGACATAAAGGCTCGCCTGCAGCTCAGCTTGAATCTTAGCCGTAGTAATCAATCATCACCACACGCTTCCATTGCTTACACTTGTTCACATAGCTATCATCTGTTGTTTAGCATCTCTAGCTGAGGGTGGCACCTATTCATTACCTGTACTACGTCACTGAATGCAGGCAGCAAAAGTGGGTCGACGAGGAACACTTTCTATAGCCCACTGCTATAATCATCTTTGTTCCCCTTCTGTCATCGAACTATTTGGCAGAATAGAATGATATCTTTACCGCTGAAAAGCCAATAACCTTCGATTTTAAGTGAATAGAAAAGGGAAGAAAGAGCAAAGAGGTGACCTACTTAAAAGATACTGCTTGAAAAGAAATGAAGTACCCTTAGATTTTCCGGTCTTCAACTACATCCTGCGTAAAAGTCGGAACTTCTACAGATGTTTAAGGGTGCCGCTTCTGCAAAAAGTAGTGTATCTTATTTACCGTACTTAATCAAATGGAAGCATAGAGGCTAGTCAGAAATTAAACTGCAATTTTTAACAGAATCACGCGCTGACTAGACATTGCAGCGAGAAAAAAAGCACTTCATTCGTATTTGCTCCATTTCAATTTAAGATACCAACTTATTTTGAAATTTCTTGTGGGGTAATGTCGGCCAAAGCCGCAGTACTTCCTACCGTCCTCCAAACGTTGCGCTGGGACTGGAGCACACCAATCCTTTGGATGGCTCAAGAGAACTTTATGGAAGAAATAATGGCTGGAGTAATATTTGTTATTGCCTTCTCCAGGTCGTCTAAGAGTTCATGTATTTCAGTCCCTTACGGAATTCTTTTTTTTCTTCCTGCATTTGCTGCCTTCCTCACTTCACAGCACCTCTCTGGAAGGTTGTTATTATAGCTCTGAAGGGAAAATGATATGACTTTTTTTGTCAGAGAAGTGATGAACAAAACGTAATGTTCAAAAGGCACCTCTAGAGCAGTAGCTTTTTCCAAGCCCTTCCTTTCTCGAAAAAATAATTATTTCCCACTTGAAATACCGCAGTCCCGCAATTCTACCTCTGATGAACAAATCGGTTCTTATGGGTAAACACAATTGTGCATTTCAGTGTACTTTGGTTGGAGAAAGTCCAACTTGATAAAAAGCCATCATCTCCTTACCGACGTTTGCATATTTGAAATTTAATCTCGGATTGTTATTAGAATCGAGGCTAAGGTTCTTCCTGTTACACCAGTTTCTTATGCTTCTTACAGCCTGTAGGCAGCTTTGATTTCTCATCTTTCAGTTTTAGTGTCACTTTTCTTTGGCCTTTCATATATTTTATGTCGAATTTTCATTTTATAATCAACCAATTACTTCTGAGAGTTCAATCAATCAGCAAAGTTAAAGGAAGTAGAGGACAAAGGACCCAAAGTTACAGTTGCAGAAACGCGGTTACGCGAAGACGGAACAAATGCTTCGCTTTGGGGATAGCAGGATGTTGGGAAGCATGTTATAGACCTGAGTAAACCTACTTCGTTGTTTCGCAGGGTCGTCTTGATATTTTGGCAATGAAAAAAACTACTTGGCTGAAGCGGGAGCTCAACGCCTATCCTCATTAAAGTTAAAGCAGCATTTTTAGGTCACTAAAGGAATTGCTTGGACATTGGCCTGCTATCTTATTCGTCGATTGAAATTTCCGAGGAAAACGCGCAAGATGACACTAGTGGTCGTATTTTAGCTTCAATTTTTTGTCTTTTTTCCCTGTTTCCTGGCCAACTTCTGTAAACGTTACAGAATTGAGTAACAATATTAACTTTTTGAGTCCTTTGACTTTTAAATAACATTTGCAGCTGTTAGAAAAAATATCAGTTTTTCCTGAAAGGAAAATTTTTTTGATTATTATACGCAACATAAGGGAAATACGACGACGAAGCCTCAGACGAAACACGTGTTTTAACAAGTTTCAGATGTGGACGACTGAAAGGTACGCTGCTGCGAATAACGCCCTCGATTTTAAATAAGGGACAAGTAGGCGATGCGACTTCGAAATTCATAATTTCATCTTCTGTCCCAAAAAAGTAATCTCTTCATGGAAATGACCACAGTTTTTGACTTGTGGAACGGAAAAAGAAGTTACCGGAGTGAAATTCCTGCGAAATTGCGCTTGAACCGCTTAAAAATTTGGGAAGGGGTTTTGAAAAGAAATCCGGCTAGGACGGTGAGGTAGCAGTTATTGAAATCAATGCGTTGAGTGATAAAAATGAGTTTGAAGGTCTGACGAGGCAACAAAGCATATGTAGAAAATGTCTTTAAAGCCGCGGTAAAAACGATCGGAAATTGTTGGACATCTTCTAAAAATGTTTGAAGAAGAAATTTTCAACTTTGCTAACAAATGATTTTCCCACAGCTTCGATATTTGGGTCCCAGAAGGAACTGGATAAGAACAATAAGCTTTTTCCTGCAGTAAGATAGCCAGCAGAAGCTTTTGATTAGAAGAAAAACTGCATTAGGCAAAGTAGTTGTCTAAGGATGAAGTCATGAAAGGTGATGAGCTTCAGAGAGGCTGACGACCAAAATGGGATTTCAGAAGGCACCGTTTTAAAGGATTAGAAGATGAAATGCTGTAAAACGACTAGGATTGTCGATAAGAAGCAAATAGAGAGTTCTTCTGCTCTTAAAACAGTTTTACTGCTCACAAAGTTCTAGAATTGACGGAAGGAAGGCTTTCTCTTCAGTTGTTCCTCTGCAGTCTTCATAATAGCTGCTTGTTGAACGTAGTGTCAGAACTGAAAATGTTTTTAAATTAGTTTTATATTTTCCTTCATAGTTTGCTAAACTTCATTGTTTCAAAATAATAAAGTTTTAATTTCATGGGTTTATTACGGCCACTGAACTTTGCCGTTCCTCTGCTTTTCGTACATTAAAGCAGAAAGTGGAATGATAAAGGGCTTTCCCAGTTAAGACTCAGTAATATGCGAGTGAGTGGCCTTTATTACAGAAACTTTTGCTTATATTGAGCTTTTTAAAGTCCTTGGTTGAACCGAAATACTTGACTGTTATCATTATGGATACGCATTTTCTTTTCCTCTGCGTCTTCACTTAATTTTGTTGAAAGTAATTCTTTAAAGAATTTTGTCTCCGGACCTCACTAGTTGTTTACAAAGTGTTTAGTTAAAACAATTCATTTAACTCAAATTTTATCAGTTCTCGTTTAGTTACCTTTAACTTCAGCCATTAAGCAGGTTCGTCGACGGCGTTGTCTGCAAGCAGTACTCGTTCCTGGCTTTTAGGATATTAATGTTTAATCGTACTTTGATAAATTCCTTTATAGTTTATCGTTTGCAAACTTCTTGAACTGAATATAGGCGATGTATTTTGGAGGTTCCGTACTCCATAATTTTTTCAGGATGTTGCGGAGATATTTAAGTGGCGTCAAGTTGTCTGTAAATTCACTTACCACCAAGGCTGAACAACGTGTGAGCCCTAGTTTAGTTGCTGAAGAAGTGACCTCTTCAAACAATTTACCAGAAAATGACATGTGCAATCCATATTTAAGAGAAGGTCCAAAGTGTTTTTTGTGCGCACACAAAATTGAACTAGACTACAAGAATGCTCGACTCTTACAGCAGTTTGTATCAAGTTTTTCTGGTCGAGTTTATGATAGGTATGCAAGGTTTTGCTGATTTAGTTTGCAATTGTTTAGAATAACTTAGTACTCAAAGTACTTACAATTTTAAAAAACTTGTTATGTTCAAAAAAGTTGGTTTTAGACACATCACGGGTCTATGTGATCATCAACATCAAAAGTTACTGCATGCAATTAGCTTGAGCAGAAGAGCTGGTTATATGCCTGTGCTTGTCAAGGACCCAAAATATCTTCGTGATCCAAAACTGTTTGATCCATTAAAACCTATTAAACCACACTCTTACGCTTGATGCCGAAGAGGTGACACCGTATATTATTAGTGGTAGATTATTAGAGTTGTTTCCTGTACTCTTCTGATTGTAAATAAATGTTTTTTTATCCTGTAAAACGTTATGAATATTTATAGCTTGCCAGTGGCGATTTTTAGAGCATCTGGAAATGTGCATAAGTTAAAATTCTTTTTCTTTTTGACGCCTCAGTATCGTAAATGTGGAGGGTCGTGACTACCTGTGGGTACTTTTTTGTTTATAAAAATAGTTTTTAGGTGTGCTGCTGGTTTTTGCTTTCATTTACCTTTGCTGAATAATTTTTAGTTGAAGGCTTAAGAGCAAGAAGTGTTTGATTTGTGCCTACTAAAACTCAAATTGTTGGGCTTGAGGAGTTACCAGCTGCTTTCGCAAACATTTATGGAGGAAGTAGAGAATGGTGAAGGAAAATTAGAGATGTCGTTTGCGACGCTTTCTTCAGAACTGAGGTTGCTCCCGCTGTATTTATCTCTTTCTTTGTTCGGCTGTTTCTTTGAATTTTAGAAAAGAAGTTCTATCGGTTTATTTGTTGTTTGAAGAAAATATTTTAGCGAAAAGTTGGTAAAAGCAATTAAAGGGAGGACTAATGAGCAGGTAGCTGAGATATGTGAACATTGTTCGTCAGAAGCAGAAGCTAGCGGACTAGTTAGGTCGGTCATATTTTATTTTTCGAGAAATCTGGTGTAATTGTTTGGATTATTCAGAACTACAAATTATTCAATAAAAATTTTACTTTAGCTCAATCGATCAATATTTCTTCTTCGTGCCCACATACCTGCCATCAATGTCTATGCATTTGATATGTATGAAACAAGAAGGCTACTTTTTAGGGTTGTGGAGCAATGTTCCAGCAAAGATCTTACTACTGCAGTGTTAATTTTGTACTACTGCGCTCAGAAAAATTGGTCGTTTGTGAACGCTAAGGTTTTCTTCTCAACATGTCGAGAACTTTTGATTTTCTTTTCTTGTCTTCGATCGAATTTTTTAGATTTTAAAATTGTGCAGAAGCTTGGTAAATTATACCAAGAGCCGGCAGGTCAGAAAGGTAATAATTGGAACTTTAAAAACTATACTGGCCAACAGAAATGAATCATTCTGGTCTGTCTATTTCGTTGTGCTTGATGCGATGGAAGAACCTCAGGTAATTTCCGTTCGCTATCTCTTTACGTGTTTCCCGGCTAATTTTTGGCTAAGATATTGTTTTATAATTTTTCAGTTCCATCTTGTGGAGCCAGTACTGCCAAGAATTAATATTCTTTTGGATGAATTTTTGAAGCTGGACCAAGTCGGTGACAAAACTTTTTATTGGGAATGGATTGAAGTATTATTGGCTAAAGGTCTTCTTCATCCTAATGGCTGGATTCGGAACTGGACAATAATGAGGATTATTTCTATTGATCCGAATGATTTCCTGTTCAGTCAGTCAGTATGTTTTTAATAATCTATCATTTTATTCACACTGTTGGTTAGGCAGCTTGAATTTCCTAATACTTATTCTTTTGTAGTGTTAGGAACTTCTTTAGTCACCGACCTAAGTTAAGCATAAAGATTTGGAAAAGCAGTTTGCGTTTGTCCTCTTACGTCTTACCATGCTGGGATTTTTTCTGGCTCAACAGGTTATGTTTATAGTTATTTTTTTTTGGATTTCAAAATAAAGCCATATTTTTAGTTCCTAATCAACGAACTTTTCCCTCTGCTTGCTACTAACGATCCATATTGGAGACTTATAGAAAAGGGCTTGTTACATACCAGCGTAGAGCAGCTTTCAACGTTTCTGGTGAAAACTGCCAAATGCCTTGGATCTTCTGATATATCTTTGCTAAGTTCGTTTTTTTTTTGACTTTTGCAACTTTGTTTCTTCTCTCATTTATCGTCTGCTCCCGTACTTTAATGTTGATACACTGAAAGTTTTGCTAAATTTATTTTTTACAGGAGATTTTTTTCAAGCTATCTTCGGGTCATTCTCTGAATGCTGGAGCTCTAGTTCGCTCTTTTTTTTCTCGGTATGCATAGCTGAGATACAAGAAAAACCAGTATTTGACTCCAACCATTTCTTTCTTCTCAAGTATTGTTTCTTCTCCTGTATTTTTTTTCTCCTCAGCAGTAGTTTCTCTGTAACCGACATTTTAAGTTATTAAAAAATTTTTTGTTAATCTTGTTTCGCTTTTATCATTTCGAAGTATTTGAATTTGTACGCAGTACACACCAGATTTCAGAAAAGTTTTTGCTGCGGTCAATAAAATACAGTACCGAGCGCTGAAGGTCTTAACAGCTTTGTATTTCACAGTCTTTTTCATAAAAAACACAAAATGGGTCTGTCTTCATTACCTAATTAATTCCACTTTACCTTTTTACTGAGATTTTCGCCGCAGAAAAGGTTTTATCCAAGTTTTTTCATCTTTCATAAAGGTTCCAATTCTTCTTCTTGTTAAAAGTTTTCTCCCAACCTGGTTAGTATAAATGGGTTCTAGGACGCAGGAATCGTTTGGGAATTTGTTGACGTGGGTATGTTGTTAAAGAAGTTAGAAGAAGATACTGAAATCACCGGCTTATTTACCTACTGTATGCAAGCAGTTGTGAAATCGTGGAAGGAGACGACAGATGGTGACATTGTCAGTTTACAAACGCTAGTTCACGATTTCTTAACTTATGTGAAAGAAAAAGGTTCAAAAGGAATCGAATTTGGCTATGCAGAGGTCACTTGGATCATTGTAAGTTAAACATTCTTTAATTGAAAGGTTATTTTTTATTGTCTTTGCAATTTGTTTTTTTTCCAAATATAGCGTATTGTTTTCAAGGCTGAAGCATATGGCTTAAACTTACCTGTCCTCGAGTACTTCATTGAGTTGCTTGCTAAACAGCACACTACGTCTTCTGATTATGAAAGCGAAATCCTTATGCTTGTATGTTTGAAAGCCCCTTCAGGTAAGCTGTAGTCATGTAAAGCATTTTAAAGCTTTTCTAAGAAACTTCTTGCTTGATATTTCTGGATGCGCCGAGTTTACTCTGATGAGTAAAAATTGACTTTTGAAGACGTTACACTTTTCCATTCAGTATATTTCAATCAAAAATTCAGCACTATTTGCTCAAGTCGATTGCAGTCATCTAAAGTTGTTTAAAAACAGTTTACGTCTCATTTGGGAAGATCAGCTGTTTGGGGCTAATAATGTAAGTTTTCATCAGAATTAATATAAAGTTACAAGAAAGTTTTTATTAAGAGAAAGCGATTAGACTCCGCTCCATTTTAAAATGTTTTTCACATTTTTTTACATTCTTTCCAATTGCTGCAGGCAACCTTTTGGGAAAAGTACGGTATGCTTCTTGGTCTGGCAGTTCCGTTGATAGGAAAAGTAGATCTGTGGTACGGTAGGGTCAAAAAGCAGTTTTTAGAGGTTTTTTTACTCTGCTGCCTTTTGTCTTAATTAGGTAATAACTGTTCTATGTCATTTCGACACTCGCCAATAGAACTTTTTTTAAGGGAGATAATGTGGAAATTAAAATGCTTGCTCTTGGAGTTGCGAATGCACTGCGGAATGTTTGTCTTGAAGATCCAGAATACAGTGAGTTGGTCGTTCATGTTTGTGGACGCTTAAAATACATTATCTTGTGAGCATTTCTTCAATACCACTTTGCTGAGTTCAATAGCATATTGTATTTTTTCTTTCTGTCATAATTTGTTAGTTGATATGGAACTGTAAAGGGTAAAAAATTTTAGATCCAATTCTGAAATATGCCTTCGCAGGTCCTTGGAACAGGCCCAACTTTACTTTGTTTTGTCACATTTGGATACGTTAGAAATCGATGTTGATCAGCATTTGGAAGTGGTTTTAGAGCGCTTGAAAAAGACGACCGGGTGGGAGGAAAAAAAACTGCTGTTGACGTTGCTTTGCAATTTGTCAAAAAAGGTTTCTTAAAGATTTATTATATTAATATGCATCTTTTTTGCAAAATTTATTTAGTTTTCAGACTTCGAATACATCCCTTCTTGATAAAGTCATTGTTGGAATTCATAAAGTAGTAGATGAAGAAAAGAACTCTCGGCATCATCTAAAGGCTGTTAAGTTCCTACTTACTGTTACGTTACAGGAAAAACTGTTACAGGAACAGGATTTGGAAAAGCACATAAAGGTTCACATTTTAATTTAGGCATTCTTGAAAAAACACCTGAATGATTTTTAATATATAGAAACTTCCTACGTTTTAACAAATTGCTTTTACTGTTCACTCCATTCATCCATCTTTTGAAGTACAATTTCAGACAATCGTTTCCGGGTTGGTGCAGAGTGCTCCGACGAATGATGGAGTTGCCTACTTGGTTTCTAATGGACTTATGAAAATTTATGATGTCTTAACTGCGAACTGGATTGATATAATTATCGATCTCTGCACTTTTGGACTTCCTTTGTCTAAAAATGAGAAATCCTTATATGCGGCTTTCAAGTGGTGTTTCGATACTTCGGATTTTAAGAATTTTCTGTCCTTGCAGCTTTCTAATGTAGACAAGTAAGTGAAAGGTTAAAATTTTGGAACTGAGGAGGGAAATGCATTAGATATGTTATTATATAGTTTTACCTCTTTTTTTACCTTTTATTTGCCTTTCTCTTCTTTGTAACTTTTCTTCCATGGCTCGTCACTGCTTTGATCGGGCATTTTTAACTCTTCGTATTTGTTCAGATTACACAATGTTGTGCGGTACACTCGTCTGCAGTCCCTCTTCATCGCAGCAAAAATGTGTTCTAGCGCTCCTGTATTTGGTTCGCAGTTTACTACTACAATCTTTGAGAAATTCAAATTTAATGAAGGCTTAAAGAGCAGGTGAAATTATCTCTCGTTGGTATGTGTCTTAAAAGCAAGTTTTTGCCAATTGCTTTGTCGAATTTTTAGTTTTTTTTTTCTATGCACATAAAATTGTATCAAATGTACGTTCTCGCATTTAATAACAGTTCACAAGTTCTTAAATTTTTCCAGTTATTGTATTTTTATTGGCAGCTTTTGAAGTCATTTCTTTATTATCAAAAAAGTTTTGAGGTGTTTTTCTAACGTAATTTCATTTTTATCTGTAAGGAAAAGAATCGCATTTTATCTAAGTATACTGCAAATGTTCGTCTTTTTTGGGGTTTTATAAGTCAAGTTTTTAAATAATTTTCTCTTTCAGTGGTGATGTTGCTTTTTAATTCTTGGTTTAGTTCTTTTGGACTTTCGTTACCACATAGGCGAAGCACTCGTCTGATGCAGACTTTATTACTTTTAGCACCTCATTTAGATCAGGTAGTTTCTTTGTCAGAATTTTTTTCACCAGAGATCTCAAATTTCTTTATTTCTGAACAGCTGTCAACCCAGCAAAATTTTTTGTTACTCCGTCTACATTATTTTACCAATTTTGGTGTTCTCGTTTACTGTTGGCAGACTCTTTGCGGTTTAGCTTTCTTATGATCATTTATCAGATTCTATTGCAGGAAAATCGTGAAGTTGTTTACCACTGGTGTCTCAAAAAAATTACCGACACAGCACAACAGTATTCAGTGAAACTTTTGGAGGAATGGATTTTAATAAAATTGTTGTGTACGCAACCGAAGCTAATTGAAGACTTCACTAATCAGGAACGAACGGCAAGCTTTTTTGGATTTTGCATCTGTTTATTTCTTAATATTTTCCTGTTATTATGTAAGGAGTGTTAAGAACAGTTAGATTTTCGTCAGTGACCACAACTGTGAATTTCAGCTTGCAAGTACAAGGGTTGGTAGCATAACATCGTGGATAAATGTATTAATGCATGTCGCTAGAATGGAAAACAGTGAGGTAAATCTCAATTTTTCATAAATAATTTTGTGCTCTTTTGCATCTCTCCTCATCAGTTGTTTAGGATACAATTTCCTTCTGTTTCCAATCTTTTTTGCCGTGGTGTACTGCACAGAATTTTTCAATTCGTTGCTCTGCTATTGCTGCTTTACGGTGCTTGTGGGTTAGTTCATCCGCATTACTTCGTGAAAATTCGGAGCACATAAGAAGGGTTATCACCTTTGACGCAGAACCGGCAGGGTAACCTTACTTTCCTCAATTTATGTTTTCATTGGTTCTTTGACTCTTCGCTTTTTTGAGTGACCTGTTTTCACTTTTTCGAAAATAAATAATTGCAGGAATGCTAGACGTATTGTAGAAACGCTCTGCAACGACTTTTATTTCTCGGTGTTTCACCCTGAAGAAAATTACAATTTGCAAGCTAGTTTTTCTTTTTATAGAAATTATCAGATTTGTCTCTGGCAGGACCAGTTTAGGTTGACTGAGTAGCGTGGCTAATGTTTTCAGTGTTTATATTAGGCAAAAAACTAAAAATGAAGCACAGGTAATTTAAACATCTGTTCAAAGTCCCCTAACGTACTTTAAATCCTTTAGTTTTTGTTTAGGTTATATGTGACATATTTCCGCGTAAAACAGGGTTACCAGACGAAGAAACAATCCCGCCAACTATTTTTCCAGATGTTTTTTTTATAAACGAAGTTCCTTTTGTTCTTTATGAAGCTAGTGGTACTCTGGAAGCAGCCCCATCGTTGGTATTCTCAGGTTTCTTTTTATGTATTTCATTTCCAGTAAAATTCTCCTTCAATTGTGCATGTACTTAGGTAGAATAAGATGCGTAGCTTCTGGGAAAGCACTCTTTAGGTTTTGCAAAACGATCTGATAAACAAAGCCTATTAAATTTCACTGCTCAGAAAGAGTTGGGCGACTTATCCGGTGATGATGTGCAAAGGAAACTCTGTGCCGCAAGAGGCAAATGGCGGAGACCTGAAGGAAAATCGTTGGTTGTGGTTGCATCACTGGTCAGCAAGGCAACTAATTTAGGAGGTAAAAACTTTTATTTTGATTCTCTAAAATTCGATTTCAAATTCAAGTTGTAATTTTTTTTCAGGTCTCTGTCGGACCTGTGAAGTTTTTGGCGTCGAGAAACTTGTTATTGCCGACTTGAATGTATTAAATGATCAGAACTTTAAAGCGTTAAGCACTTCTTCTGAGAAGTGGGTTGATTTCGTACAGGTATTATTTACCTAGTAACAATTCCACTTTTCTAGATTCGCAGTATCCCGTTTACTGCAGGTAAAACCTAGTGAATTAATCGATTACTTGAAAACTCAACGTGATCAAGGATATACGATAATTGCTGCAGAACAATCAACAGGGAGCGTTTACTTTAACAACTTCAAGTATCCAGCAAAATCCCTTCTGCTGCTCGGGTAAAAAATAAAGTTTTTCGTGCTGCTAAAAAAATTACTTAGATGAAAATTCGACTGCTAAAAAATACCGTGGCTTTTTTCTTATGTATTAGAGATTTGAATAACTTCAAATAACAACTGATATATATCGCTATTTGGTTAAGCCTTGAAATGTTCCTGGAAATTTCTTAAGAAATTCTTGGAACCAAAGTTGTGAGAAGAAGTGGACAGAATCTTGTTTTAGAGACGAGAGAGAAGGTATACCTGTGCACTTGATTCGGTTTGTGGACAGTACAGTTGAAATACCTCAAACCGGTCAAACTCGTAGCTTAAACGTTCATGTTACGGGGGCATTATTCATTGAGAAATACGCAGAGGCTCATTATTTCTGAAATGTAGAAGTTCTTCGTTCGTTATGATGGACCATATGAGGACCACTTTGTTAATGTCGCCTCCCATTTTTTGTCGAACTTTTCTCTGTTTTTGTTGTCTTCTTTTAATCCTACCGCCAAAAAACCATTTTTGCACCTAATCTGCACACCTAAAGTTATCTATGTTTCGTGCTCATACGTTATTGAAAGACGAAAGAAGTTCACACTCTTTATTTTCAGTAGCGCTGATAGTTCTCAGCCAATTAAAATTTGAACGTCTTCATTTCTTCAAAAAAAATTCGGCTTTCAGATAAATAATACGCCGTGCTGTCGTTTCTTTAAAAGATATGTGGATGAAACTTAAGGAAGTTTTTTTGAATATTCCATTAAACAAAAATAAAAAAAAAACAATTTACGCAATGCTTTGAAGACGCTTTCGAGCAGTAATCCTTATGTTTACCAACATCCGACAAAAATCATGAAGTACAATTAGGAAAAGACGATGCCTGCAGGAGCAAGTTGAAGTTCAAAGGAAAATGTAGATTTCGGAGTTCTTCGCCTTTAGTAAAAAACTGAGAGGGTCATAGTACCTCTCGTTGGGAAGCAGAGAAGCTCAAAGGTAAAGGAAGTGTTAGGAATTAAAGAGTGCAGGTATGTCGACAGCATGGTTGCCATCACCTCCCCTCGAAACGAGCAGGGTAGGCATTTAAAGAAATGCGCCATGCCAACTAACAAATTACATTTTTTTTTACCTTTGCGTGCTGCATCTCAACATAGGAATCTCGCAATTAGCTAGCCGCTAAGTGCTTCTTACAGCAAATGAAAATTCACAAATGAAAATGTTTTTAATTCCGTTTCTTGAGCACGCTTCTCATGACTACCTCCGCCAAAAGATCCCAAAAAAGCATCCCAAAAACAAACTTCCCTTCCATAACACTAGTTTGCAGAAATACTGGCGTTATGAATCCGGTTGCTTATTTGCACATGAATATGAACTTGAGCATTGTAATCTCGACTCCGTGATGAATCAATTTAATAAAACCTCATAGAAACACTGTAAGTTCTCGCATACAAAGCGCTTCTGAATATTAAACTTTTAAGGAAGCTTTGAAGAGACGGACTATATGACAATGTTGCGAGGCAGTAAGGCAAAATCCAATGAAGTAAATCGCATTTGAGAACAAAAAAAAATTCCAAAATAGCTCTTGTAAAAAATGGACCGCTTTTCATATGAAAGCATTCATTAAACACAACAGAAAGTGGACGTGCATAATCTTGAATAAAACGCTTTATAAACAAAGAGAAAGACGGTACCGGAAACCTTCGTTACGGTCCTTCTTCACTCCTTCCAGCAAAGAATTGAAATAACGTATATGCTTTTGACGTGGTATCGTCAACTATTCCTGTGTGCTTTGAATCACCTACTGTAAACTAATTATACTAACTTGTTCTGATGCTGGAAGTATCTATGTCCAGGAAGAAACTCAAGAGTTATAAGACCAGTCATTTATATGAATGATAATGAGGCGTAACCTTAATAAAGCTTAAATTTTTAAGTGTTGAGATAACAGGCGAGATCTGGGCAAAACAGTCAAAGGGGAAGTTGTGCTGTAACCCAAGACTTCACAAAACTTTAAATTTCTCAACACCTCATAAGAACTTTGAAAGTGTTCAGGTATGAAGCGCTTGTAAATATTAAGCCTTTAAACAGTCGTAAAAAGACGGACTATACTACAAAGAAAAAACATTTGCAACACACTGGAAAAAACTTCAAGATGACTGTTATCTGAAACTCATGCTTTTCTTATCTTTTTGTTGTCATCTTGTTTACAGTTTCATTGCCTACACAAAGGTAAGTGAAAATCCATTAAAACTGTTTTTCTTGAAATAATGACCACTTCTGCTGTCAGACTTAGCATTTAAAATTCGTTTTCTTCATTTCTGCTGAACTATAAATTTCTAATCCAACAGAAAAATCTTTTTTTAATCTTCAAAGGTCGTTCCCTGTCCCTTTTACAAAGTACAGTAAGAAGGCGCTGACTACTGATGGACGTAATACTTCAAAAAAAAAAAACCCCAAAGTTCCAAAACCATGTCAGATTTTAAATGGTTGAAGAACAAAAACGCGAGCGCTATGTACAGAAAAAAAATGCTTCGCAAGCTCTGAAGTTCCTTCCTAAAGCCAGATTTTTGAAAAAGCATCTGGACAAAAAGACAATTTTTCCTGGTGCGAGACATTTAAATAATTAGAAACAAACCCTTCAATAATGACTATTCATTTTATAATGAGTTCCGAAATTCGTTTAACTCCAGGAAAAGTAAGCCGACGAACAAAAAAAATTTTGAGCCGAAATATGCATGAATATCGAATCCTGTCCCAAACTTTTGAAACTAGATGAAAACAAGTATTTTGACTAGAACGTCACGAAATTAACGAAGGAAAGAAATGAAGTAAAGAAGACTTGTTCCGCATATTGAATGAAACTTCATGGTAATGAGAATGTATAAGAAATATCTCAAAAGCTGCCTTTCAAAGAATCACTGCAGTTAACATACGCAAAAAAGAGTCACTCGACAATATGTAATAGGCACCCATACCTGAAATCACTCAAAAAATTATTTTGACATTAGTAGCTTTTCTAAATGAAATTCCAAACCCTTGAACACTCCACTCTGACTTGTTTAAAACCTAAAAATCACTACATTCAGCATAAAAAACTATTCCACACTTGCGCATTATTAATTAAAACTTACAAAAAATCATTTTTTCAAGCAGATTTTTCAACTACTTTTGACTGCCTCTTGTACTTCATTTGATGAAGGAATTGTTTCCACTTTCATAAACAGACACGGGTCGTAAATAACACGAACTATCAATGAACAACTAGGACATGTAGCAATATCCTCGCCACTCTCCAGCATTTCTCTAAATATAAGCTTTGTCGGTGAAATTCACTAAACAAGCAGGACAAGCATATAAGAGCTCATTTTTGACTTCAAGTGAATTTTTTTCTTTTGTTATGGAAAACTCCAACGGCTTTGATAAAATTCCACTCTGTCATATGGAGGTACCTAGAGGTTTTCCGAGCCACCTCCTTAAGGTATGCTAAACATTTAAGTCACCCACGTCCATAATTTGTTACCTTCTAAATATTGTTTGTTAATGTTTTTTCCCTTTATTTTTACAACTTCTTGCCTTCATTTCCTTTTTTACCCGAAATGTGACAGTAGCTTTAATTTTTACATATACTTTTCAACCCATATATCGTAATTGTTGTTTTGATTACTGTAATCTACGTTTAAAGTAGTTTGAGAAAAAAATAAAAAAATCGATTGTGAACGACAATTCAGTCGGGAGAGAGACCCCCGAAATTATACGAGGAACATAGTACCTTACTAGTTATGAGACCTTTAAAAATATTACTTGAAAAGTAGCGAATACTGAGCTAAAATAGGAAGAAATGACAAGAAGAAAAGGCGGAAACATATTGTTTCTAATTCTTTTTAACCTCATTATTACTTCTCCCATCATTTCACCAGTCTCTATCGAGAGTAACATGCTGTTCACAACTGATTTTCCTTTTATAACTTCTTAAAGTACTCACTATCTGTAATTTTTAGATTAGCTATCGCTCAAACAAAATCCACTATACTGACGCTCGCTCAGACCCGTTTTGTATTACAACGATACTCACCGATGACTTTATTAGTTTCTAGAGCTTACATACCTCCTGGAAATTAATAAACCAAAAATAAGTACATGTTATCCGTCTGACGAAAAGTACGGAAACAGACAGAGAAGTATATTAAAGATCTCAAATTAAAAAAAAAAAATAAGCCTAGGAAACAATTTTGATAAACTCCGTAACTTTTACAAGCAGGCGTACTATCCATTCTAAACCCTATGTTATTGTCTTCTTAAACAAGATCAACAAACCTTGTTATTTCAAACCGATCACCACAAGGACAAGGATAAGTGTAAGTCATCGTATCTTCGTCGTAAGCAAAGTCTTCAATTTCTATTTCGTCGTGGAAAACAGCCATTTTGATAAGTATAAACCCTTTAACAACAAGCTCTAAAACATAAAAGGCAAAGATGGTCGAACTGTATACGTCTACCGTTAACGACAGGAAAAAACAATTAGGTGGAAAAAATTTTTGAAACTAAAAAGTCCATTGTTCCGGTTTTAAAAACAGAAAGCAAAATTAGGTTCAAACTAATTCACTCTGTGGTCTACAAAACTGAATTCGTTCAAAACTGTATTATGAAAATATTCGGCCTGAAATTGTTCATAACAAATATTATAAACATATGTAGATTCAGTACACAACTATGATACCTCATCTGTTCACAAAAGGAAATAAAAATACAGTGATCCACAGCTATATTTGAAATCTACACAATTTTTAATTTGAACATAATATAAATATAAATGTAGATA